CCCAAGATGATTCTCATGCTCACAGCATCAATCATGGCGTTCTACCTGCAATTTAAGGAGGAGAAGGACAAGGCTCTACGTGAATCCCTCGACTCTGGCACCACTATCCCTTCCTTTGCTGCTTCGAGCTCCTTCAACTCATCTGCATCCACAGCAAGTTCAGATGCGTCCATGCCTGTAGCTCGGCTGGAGTTTGAGGAGTTCACAGATACGCCAGGGTCTGCTGTGCAAGGTGTAGCCAGTGCGGTGGAGAGCGGTTCAAATGGGAGCATTCCATCGATCAAGCAGCGCAAGGCGGAGCTGTTTGCGAGAAACATACCGTCACCGGTGCCTATGAAGCCGCTTAGCCCAGCTGTTAGCAGATAGCATGTGCGTTGAGTGCAATTGATGGACGGTGGGCGACTTGGGATAAAGGAGATTTTATGGTGGCATAGCTGTAGAACTTGTGAAGGTGGTGAAGATAAATGTGGAACATAATTTGTTATCAGGATAATTTGAGAGATGGAATATGCATATATGGGCTAGCTGCAGTCACACAATACAGGAGGGGTTGTACCGTACTGACTTGAACAACAAATAAAGTAATTAAAACGCAGCCAAGGCAAAGCCACCAAGGGAATTCACTAAGGCACGTCACAGAGTCATATACGGTACCGTAGGTAAGGCAGGATGAGCCTGGGCAAAGGTAGATGCGGGGGGGGGTTGAGGGAAGGCAATGAGGGAGGGGGAAGAGGGATGGAAAAACGATGAGTGAAAGATAGTTAAGGGAGGTCGAGGGAAGATAGAGGCAATGAAAGGGAGATCTTGAATCAGGAGAGAGATGCACGGCAGGGGAACAGTAAGGGGAAAGTGTGGGGGAGATGAGAGGTAAGTTGGGGAAAGGATGGAGGGGAAAGAGGAGATTAAGGAGAGGTATGGTTGGCATGACTGGGACCCCCCCACCCCCCCTCCCCCTCCCCCCTTCCCCCCTTCTACTCCCACCCAATTCCTCTCTTCCCCACAATCCCGTACACTCCCCCAACCTTTCCCTTGCTCAAGGCCCAAAATGATGTGCATTCGCTTACTCACCGCCTTCGCTTGTTAACGGACGTTGAACCGGCCGCACTGCCGACGCGAATCGCGCGCCTACGAATTGAGACTAATAATGCGTCCGCATGGTATGTGCTCACAGATATATGGAGTTAAATTTGGTGCAAATCGATGCTAGTATTGTGTCCGCAAATGGTACTATTGTGCCCGCGAATCGACGTTCCGCAATGCATCGGTTTAAAAAAACGCGTGCTACTGGCTACTGTGCAAACATCTGAAGCACGCAACTGGCGGTACTAGGTTCACTACCTGAAGCGGCGAAAATGAATATACCGTACAGAGAATATTAATAAACGGCGAAAATTAATATACGGCTGATAACCGCGACTGACATCACGTACGAGAAGCCGCGAGGGTGGAAATCCAAGAAGTCACGAGCGCTTAGCGCTCAGGTCTACCGTAACAGAGACTGATAAATGGAATAGAGAAATGATGATGACGAAGAAGCATCTCGCATCAATCGTTCGAACCATAGAACAAGGCACCCTTAATTCCAGGGTGGCATCCTAAATTTTCATAAAATACAAGTCACAAAACATCGCTAAGTTCCTAACTCTTCAACTGCTACAGAACGCCAGCCGCTCAACTAGCTCGAAGTGTTGAACAGCTTTGTCTGTGCGGCCAAGGCCCTGTTTGGCAGGCATCATGGCAATTATGGCCACAATGGGCATTTCTAACGGGCCCCCAAAAATGCCGCCTGGGCATTTCGAGAAACAGCATCGAAATCGGCTAGTAGCTGCAGTGCACATTCGGAAAAACGGGGTGGAGTGTTTGGTTGGCATTATTTGGGTGTAGATTGATGGCATCTATCGATATTTCGGGTTTGTGGAAGATGGTAAACAGTTGCCATGATGGTTCGCGTGATCATGTGATTGGCTGGCATATTTGACCAGTTACTTTTGATTGCCCCGAATCACTCATACCCCGCATAGTGCGTGGCCTCGAGGCCGCATGGTGCGGGGAGCAAGAAAATGGGCACTTTGCCAGAGAAACTCGTTTGGGTGTAGATTCCGGCGGTTGAGAACGCCTGCAAAAAAAGGGGTGTTTGTTGGCATTCCATTACTGTTAGGTTCGGCGTAGTCCGCTTATATCGAGCCCTGATAGCCGATAACGCGCTTATCAAGAAAGGCTCCAGGGTGGTCGGTTCACTGTAGCCCATCTCCCTCGCCCGTTTTTTTATGCCTGCCAAACTGGGCCCAAGTGTTGAAGTGTTGAACCTCTGAACAGCTCCAAGTGTTAGAGCCGCTCCAAGTGTTGAACTGCTCCAAGAGTTCATCGCCAAACTTGCTTGTCCCGCTTTCGACTCGAAAGCTATTCGCCAGCATCTAGTTGGGTAAAACCACTCGCTAACGCTTACAAACCATTGGTTTTAGCCAGTGGTTTGCGATTTCGCAGGTTCGGAGGCGTTTTGTTGCGTTTTGCCGAGCGCAAGTGCGACATTTGGCACGCGTCGTACCTGTTTCCGAGGCATGGGTGGCAAGAAATAGGTCGGGCCCAGGTTTGGAAGTGCCAGAGAATATTTCGGCCAGTCAAGCAGCTCCACGCTTGCACGATATGGTTGGTCGAAATTGGTCACAGCCACGCTGGTCTGTGAGGCCATTTATATTCGATAAGTAGACCCGACGTGTAAATTTTGGTGCGAGATGAAATAGCTTTGTCTATATGAAGTGACATATCGTGTGGCAAGCATGGTAATGTTGTATGTTTTTTTTTTGTGACAATAGATTTGTGACCAAATACAATGTACCGTTTAGTAGTGATGAATTGGTTGATGAATATAATAGTGGCGATAATCATTGCAGGTACTGCGGTAAATTTAGCATACTTGTAGCACTGCTTTATATATAACTTATAAGTCACTCGAATAGCATTTTGGTATACCCAAATGAAACACCCGAGTGAACTTACTCACAAGGGCGTTGCCTTTAGAGGCGGTTGGCCCTTCTGCGGGAAGTGCCTTAGAATCTACGGCACATGTAGAGGGAGGATCAGGATCGGGTGATCCTGGCCGCTTCAAATTCTCTCGATGGACCCTCCCACACCTGACAGCCACCTGCCAGGCACTCACATGCGGATTGGTTGCGCGTGGACCCAGGTGGTTGGTGAAGGTTTGTCCTGGTGCATACAAGGGGCGACGCAAAGTTTGCCTGCGCGCAACAGAAGAGGTGGGTTCGCGACCTGAAATTCATTCGCCAAAGACAAAAAGGGCGTGTCAGGTGTTTCCGCACAACGCCTCCATTTCGCGCGATTGTTCGCCGAGGCGCTGCTGTAATTTTTAGCGGATACGACGCGGAACCCTGGGCTGGGTGGGGTGTACACCCGACCTGTACAGGTGGGGCGGGAACTGACTGACGTGTCTAGCATCACGACAAGTTCCAGCTGGCGAGTAGCCCCGTCCGTCAACCCGTCGCTAGTGATAGCGACAACGACCCTTGCCAGCACAGAACGGGCCTGATTTTTTTACGAATGGCAATCGCGGCATTCGGTTCTGGACCAATGGGAACAAGACTCGTACCCTTGGTCGACCTTGCCCAGATCTCTCTTCCTGTGCGATTTCCGAACTGTGAGGTGGGGTACGGTTTATCATGTTTTTCACTGAATTGAGAACTACTCACAACACTTTGGCTGGGCTCAAAACTATAATGTTAGGTCCCAATTCCCTACCCCCATCCCCTCCCTCACCCATTTCCCAACCAACCAGCCAGGGGGTACTCTTCCACGACTGGCCATTCTGTCATTCAGGAAAATTTGTCTACCATTTTTACTCTCTCAGACCGACAGTTTCCCTCCCAGCTTACTTAGTTTTTTCTGTTGGCTTGGTGGTGTGTTGTATCCTGCAACGATCGATCTGTTAGTCTCCAAGTATGTGACTGGCCCGGGTGGAATTGTTCATCTGTTACTTGTATTGTCTCCATTCACAACCCTTTGATCGCTTTTTTGTGTTCTCTGTGTTTCAAATCCACATAAACATTGCTTCATTTCGTATCACCTCTTAGTGTGCTGGTTATTAACATCCTCGTTTTTGGAAAATCATAAATTATGTTCAGGTGCACCCTTTGACTGAACTGTTTATGCATGTAAATAATTTCAAACTACTGTTTCGTGTCTGCAGGGTTGCTTTCGAAGAGATCCGCTGTTGTCCAAATATCTACTCCTACAGTTTCAGCCTGGTGAGGAAATGTTAGATGGTTGCACACCCAATCTGCAATCCGGTGTGACCGTTGTTTGTGTGGTTTCTGTATTGGTAACTTTCTATTCCTCATTGTTCTGTGGTCTAAGACGCTTCTGGCATGTTTTGTACGGTATGTGTTTTGGTGTGCTCCTGCAGATCTGCAGAAGGCTGCTGAGAAGGGTCCCCTCTGCCAGGCCGCATCTGCATGTAGGGGCTGTAGTTAGAGTCACTGATAGTAGCTTGGAGTTGGTGTGCTGTACGAATCTTCTGTAATTGAGAAATTTGATTGAGGAAAAACCCTGCAAGGCTTCCAGTATATTTTGCAGTATGGCGGATGACAACAGGCCATTCAAGTGTGACCTCTACCCCCAATGTGTAGCGACATTCTCGTATGCACATCAGAAAGCACGGCATATGAGGAATAGGACAGCACAAGAATAGGGTGGAAGAGGCAGCATCTGAAGGATTGCGTGATGATTCTAGCCAGGGGGGAGCAGTGGAAAGGTTAAGAGCAGCTGCAAACCGTCTTCTTTCACGAGGCACCAAGCGCACACGCCTTGAAACGCAGCCAGGGCCGAGCCGCTTTGATGAGCAGCCTGACACGGCTAAGTTGAACGAGGACACCACAGGCTACGAGTTCGCCCCAGAGTGTGATGCTACAGCGGTTGACATTGATGCTCGGGCGTACCGTTTCATTCGCACGGCAGCTGGAGGATCCGGCCTTTCACGCGTAGATATTATGGAGTTGATATCCATCCTCGTCGAGGTTCTGCGCAACCCAGGCCGGCTAACGCTCAAGTCTCTAGCAGACTTCGACAAGTACGAGGAGGCGAAGTTGGCAGGGGCCAACATTGAACCGTTTGAGCAGGTGGAACTCACAAAGCCGGGAGATCTGAAGCCCGTGATCCTGTGGCGGCGTTCGACGCTCACGCGTGTCACCAACTTGTACGAGAACGCGGCGAATGCGCATGGTTTCGTTGTGCGCCCTCCCAAGAACTTCAATCCGGCGAAACGGATTTACAAGGGTCCTGAGACGGGGAGTTGGTGGCGGGAGGTACTCCGTAAACTGCCAGCTACTGATCCAGGCAAGGCAGTCGCTGCAGTGATCATCTACTCGGACGAAACAACTCTCACGACTGATGGCGGACTCAAGGGTTGGCCTGTGTACATCTCGTTAGCCAACATTGCGCCAGGGAATCGATGGAAACCCCATGGGCATCGATTATGCGCTCTCCTACCCGATGATGACGGGAGCTTCTTCACGCACGCGGACAAGGAGCGGCGGCACCTTGAAGTATTCCAGGAGGCCTTGGATCTTATCATGGCGGATTTGAAGATTGCCCAGAACACGTAAGATCCTACCCCCCAAGCCCCCCCCCTCCCCTCCCTCTCTCTGCTTTTGGTTGTTTTGTCTACGTTTGTGAACTGTTGTATACTGTGCAAATGTGTTTATCGATTCTCTATTGTCTTGCATGCAGTGGCGTGGAGCTGACAGATCCATACGGCATTCGTCGTATGGTCTTTCCGCTCACGTACGCTTACATTGGTGACTATCCGGAGCAGTGCAAAGTGGCGGGCACCAAGTCCGGCATCAAGACCCGTTTTCCATGCCCCAGGTGCACCGTTCCAAAGGAAGAGCTGAACAACATGGCGTTCCCGCTGGTGTATCGAACGGAAGCGTTACAAAAGGAGCGAGTCATGGAGATGGAACGCGAGAGGAGGGTTACAGCACGCAACGACTTGACAAAGCGTTACAGTACACACTTCGTTAAGGTACTTTACACTTGTTGTTTGTCGCGTAGTCATGCACTTATAATCATAACATGTTGACCTAGGGTTTTGCTAGATGCCCAAACTGATGTGTGTGCTTCTGTGTCAGTTTCTGCGTTTGTGTGTATGTATGTCTGTGTGTGTTAGTGTGCGCGCGTGTGTGTGTGTGCGTGCGTGTGTGTGTATGTGTGTGTGTGTGGGTGTGTGTGGGTGTGTGGGGTTTAGTATGGATGCGAGTGTGTGGATATGTATGTGGATGTGTGTGTTGGTGTGCGCGGGTATGTGTGGGTGTGTGTGGGTATGTGTTGGTATGTGTGTAGGTGTGTGGATGTGTGTGTGTGTGGGGGTGTGGGTGTGTGGGTGGGTGTGTGGGTGCGTGGATGTGTGTGTGTGGGTGTGTGAGTGTGTGGGTGTGTGGGTGTGTGTGGGTGTGTGGGGGTATGTATGGATGCGAGTGTGTGGATGTGTGTATGGATGTGTGTGTGGATGTGTGTGTGGATGTGTGTGTTGGTGTGCGCGGGTATGTGTGGGTGTGTGTGGGTGTGTGTGGGTATGTGTGGGTATGTGTGTGGGTGTGTGGATGTGTGGGTGTGTGGGTGTGTGTGGGTGTGTGGGTGTGTGTCTGTGGGTGGGTGGGTGTGTGGGTGTGCGTATGGGTAGGTGTGTGGGTGTATGGGTGTGTGTGTGTGTGGGTGGGTGTGTGGGTGCGAGGATGTGTGTCTATGAGTGTGTGAGTGTGTGTGTGTGTGGGTATGTGGGTGTGTGTCTGTGGGTGGGTGGGTGTGTGGATGTGCGTATGGGTAGGTGTGTGGGTGTATGGGTGTGTGTGTGTGTGGGTGGGTGTGTGGGTGCGAGGATGTGTGTCTGTGAGTGTGTGAGTGTGTGTATGTGTGGGTGTGTGGGTGTGTGTCTGTGGGTGGGTGGGTGTGTGGGTGTGCGTATGGGTAGGTGTGTGGGTGTATGGGTGTGTGTGTGTGTGGGTGGGTGTGTGGGTGCGAGGATGTGTGTCTGTGAGTGTGTGAGTGTGTGTGTGTATGGGTGTGTGGGTGGGTGTGTGGATGCGTATGGGTGGGTGGGTGTGTGGGTGTGTGGGTGGGTGTGTGGATGCGTGTGTGGGGGTGTGTGGGTGTGTGGATGCGTGGATGTGTGTGTGTGGATGTGTGGGTGTGTGTGGGTGTGCGTGTGTGTGTGGATGTATGGGTGTGTGTATGAGTAGGTGTGTGGGTGTGTGGGTGGGTGTGTGTAAATGTGTGGATGGGTAGATGTGTGTGTGTGGATGTGTATGGGTGTGTGTGAGTGTGTGGGTGCGTGCATGCGTGCGCATCGCAAAGTGCTATATGGGGGCAACGCTTTGGCGACGAGGATTTCGGCAACCCGTACCGACAACTCACGTCCGACATCATGCACATGTCTCTCCTCGGCGTATACAAGCACATCCTGGAGGGTCTCAAGTCGAAGCTGAATGATTCCACCCTGCGGGAGCTCGATGCTTCTCTCGAGCGGATCACCAAGTACAGCAGGCAGTCTTTCTTTGAGATTCCTGCACACACAGCTGGCTATTTCAGCGGCCACAACACCTTCAAGGCCTTCCACCATCAAGCGGTGATGCAGGTGCTGCCAGTGCTCCTGGTGATGGCGAAGGTTGACGCACGGATTGTGGCATCTGTGGAGCTCTTCTGCACGTGGCACAGGGAGGCATGGCATCGCACGTACCACACCGACGCCTCCTTGGCGAACCTTGACAACATGGCGAGCACGTGAGTACGATACACGATTGCTCGCATCCATGTGCATGCCATAATATAATTGTGTCGTTTGTCCGTTGTAACATTCCTTATCGAACTTCTGCATCGCTATGTACCGTGCCATTGCATTACGTGCAGGCTTGTTCCGATGCTGATGAATGAGTTCACGGTGGATGATCAAGCATCAAACTTCAATGTCCCCAAGATTCACGCGATGCTTCACGTTAGTGACGACATCAGGCGTCGTGGCGTCCCGATTCACTACTGCACCGATGTCTACGAGCACGTGCACGTGGCCTTGATGAAGAGACCGTACAGAGCTTCTAACAAGAGGAACGCCGAAGCAACTATCACACGGCGTTGCCTGACATCAGAGCTGGTCAAGTGGATGACTGCGGCCGATGATGTTCCCGATGCGCACGCACGATCAGCCGCCCTTCAGCAGGTGTGTTGTTATTGAACACTGCAAGATATAGATGTATTGGCTATCATCCTATCTCCTACTCAATACTATGCCTACAAGTGTTGCAGTCCCTCTTGTTGCATGTTTTTCTTAATTGCGTTTCCCGCTTTCTCCTTATGTTCTGTATTGTTTTTTGCCTGATGTGTCAACCTACATTCTTAAAACTACTGCAGGCCATAGAGACGGGAGTTGCTACTGTCACTGGGACGAGTGCAAGGTTTGTCTTGGGTGACGAGCGTGACAAGACCTTCAGGGCATACTCGCGGAGCGTCCCAGGAGACTTTGACCTTCTGGAGGACAGTATTGTGTCATACCTCACGGAAGAGCATGGCGCCAACGCGGTTCACTATGCTCGGATGGTAGAGGTGCACACAGGTGTTGCGGTACCACCCGACGACGATTTTACAAGGTACAGCAGGTACCCACAGTATGCACGAGCGTCTCCAGCATTCCATGGTGGCCCTTGGTTTTCGGATGTGGATATTGAGGGAGAGGATGACGAGAAAAAGAAGGTGGTGTGGCATGCGAAGCTTTTCCTTATATTTACACTGAGATGGACGGTGTGTATTGCTGGCGCCGGTGACGAGGAAGATAGGGAGGAGCAGTGTTCGGAGCAGCTTGCATTTTGTCGCTATTACGGATCGCTCCCACAGTCAGAGACGATGGACATGAAGACCTTGAACTGGTGGCCATCTCGCCGCGGGTATGGGGTGTTGCCAGTTGAGAGCATCTTGCGTGTGCGTCACGCCGTCCCCAAAACTGTTGATCCTTCACATCCGATGGCAACGTTTGTGCTAAACCACTTTAGATGGTAGAATATGATATTGTAAATATTAGATGTTGATATTGTAAATATATATATGTGTGTATATAATGTTTTGACATTTTATGACAAAGCAAATGTTTTGAAAAGTTTCTGTTGGATAGTAAATTGCTCAAATTAAACATAAAACCTTAACATAGCGTCTCAGATTCACTGGTTTAAAATGTCTTGGATTTCATCCGATCTGGTACATATAACGCGTTAGAGTGTGTAATGTTATAATATTATACTGAACATTGTGTGTTCACGTCACACTCCTGTGTCAACAGCGAGAAAGAACCACGTCAAATTTGCTGTGACCACCCATTACGACCACTGTGAAATCAGAATTTCCCGGGCTTAATCGTAACGACTTCTAATTTCGCCGCACGCAAGTTATCGAGCACACTTGACAGCGTGCTGCCTCTCCGTGATTCGTCCCTTGCGTGCGCATTGATTTCACGCTTTCGAATGGGCCACTCGCCCATGGTGTCGTTTGTCTATTTTCGCAACACGTTGACTCGCGTTGGGCGGATGTTTCCTCCAACAATGCAAAGTCAGAATAGGCTGTACATGCTCGCGTGACGTTTACTAGTCCTGCGCCGAATTTGTTTTCCTGAGCTGTAAGTGAACAACCCCCACCCCCCACCCCCCCCTCCCCACCCCATCCCCTCCCCCACCTCATCCCGAAAAAACCACGCATTTACTTTTGCCCTTTTCGTAAGTACATTGGTAACGAGATGGGGCGATGGTGCTAGCGTTTTAAACCGATTAGTGACCAGGTGAATATTTGCTGCCCAAAATATTGACGTAGTTGTCGACTTCGCTGACCAGTTGCACACCTACATGATACTTGGGTGGCAAAAGATGTACACAGGGAAATTGTGGGGCTGTTTCGCCGCACATGACATCGTCTCACCAGCCACAAACGTGTTCTGTAGGTTCCAGCGTTACAATATTCAGCAAAAAAAAAAAGCCTACTGTAATGCGTGCCATCACATTGCGTGCCACCCAGGAAAAGTTATTCACGTTGCCCAACTCTGGCATGTGGTGGTGATATCACGCGCGGAGAAAGGACAAACGTGTGTGCTGGTGCATAAGGACCGCCACCCTAAACCAGATTTGTTGCTGTTCATGAACGCGAACGCCAGCGCACCTGAAGGCACTACCCACTTCATCCCACGAGCAGCAACTCACATTCTCTGAAACCCCACCCCACCCCATCCCCTTCTCTCCCCCGTTTCCCTTCCTCGTTGGCAGGGGAAAGAGGCAACTGCTCTGTCCGCGTGTCTCAGTTTAGGAATTCAAAGTTGGAAATTTCAAACTTTGTTTTAACCTTGCTCGAGGCCCGACTTCATTCTCATTCGCTCATCCCGCGACCCGTGCCGAGCCTCCATGCGAGGCGACTTTGGTCCCACGTCTGGTAATGATCCGGTGACAGCCAATCATGGTGTGTTTCGCGAACCCTCGTTTAGTAGTCCATTCGCCTACGATTTAACCCGCTTTTTTGTCACATGGACGACTTCATATAAATAGCTGTGTGTGCATCTTGCTGGCTATTCGCTGGAACTCGGTTAGTTTGTTTAATAACCCGTTTAGTCATGGCACGCGGTGATGCTCGAGACCTTGTCCCTGAATCTTTGCGCGGCCTGTAGACTAGAAAGCCCCCGGCACGGAAGAGCAAGGACAATCACAAGTACATTGGTGCCGCTGCTACCGCAGGTATTTGCACGCTGGTTTGTATTGCGTTGCTTTTTTTTTTTTTTTTTGCTTGCACCAATGAAGTCGAACACGACTAACCACCGTTCATTGTTTCTCGCAGATGAAAGCCACGATGAATCGTCCGACGAGCAAGCGCAGGGCCGCCCTCGCACCGGCCAACGGACCAAACATCCAAGGCGCAGCCTCGATGACGTCAACAAAGCTGACGTCGCTGGGAAAACCGTCCCTGCACCGGCAGCTGGAGTGAAGTCCGTGGCTGGCGGTGGTCCCCTCGATGCTGCTGCAAGTGGTCCCTTCCCTGCTGCTGCCGCTGCTGGTGGATCTTCCCCTGCTGTCGCTGCAGCCGGGTCTTCCCCTGCTGCCGCTGCTGCCGGATCTTCCCCTGCCGCAGCTGCTGCCGGACCTTCCCGTTCTGCTATTCCTGACGGTGGTTCCCCTCCTGCTGATGTGGCTCCCGTGTTGGAATCGCAGCGAGAGTTAGGAGCCATAGCTAGGAGAACCCTAGCTAGGCAAGAAAGTTTAGGCAAAAGAGGGGGTTCACTAGAAAGCAGCAGGATACATATAGGGAACCCTAAGGGGTTGTACTCGCTATAGAGTACCCCACTGCAGGCTAGAGAACAATAACATTCTGACACACCCCCCTAGCCAAAGTGGGGTGTAATCAGCACAGCAAGCAAGCATAGAAGTAGTTCAGAAATATAAGCAAAGCTAGAGGCTAACACAGCGGGCAAGTGAGGAGGAGGGACAGTGAGAGGAGAGGAGATAGGAGGCGGCGGCTGAAGCTGCAGACACACGGGCACCAGGAGTGGCGAGCACAGTGGCTACCGGGACAGCGCCCCGGACTACAGGAGTGACTGGCTCCGCGGCTAAGACGAGCGGCAGGAGCTACGGACCCACAGGCGACTGGCGCAGCGACGAGCTCACTGGGCTACCGGGACAGCGCCCCGGACTACAGGTGCTGCGGACGACAAGACGGCAGCCTCCGCTCAACCTCCCGCAAACAGTCCCACACACCCCCCACAGACCCACTGCTTCACCCTAGCTCCACTCCCCCTTCACCCCCTAGCACGACTCCTTCGGCTCCCACACACCCACCCCCCTCAGCGGCAGCTGCAGCAGTGGGAGACAGAGGAGGAGGAGGAGCAGGGGAGACCACACACCCGCCACCCCCGACTCGCCACCCCCAAACCCTAAAACAGGGCAGGGCGGGATGGCGGGTAGGGAGGTGACGGGGGGGGGGGGGGGGGCGTCAGAAGGGGCGGCGCTCACCCCCTCCCCCAGATCACCCCTCGGCAGGCGACGGGAAACAGGGGGGGGGGGGGCGGTGGGGCCGCAGGGGCGCCACGACGGACGGGCGACGGGCACGCGCGGTACCCCAGGGCGCCGCGACGAGCAGGGCGGGGGCCGCGCGTGCTCCCCAGGGCACCGCGAAGGAGGGGCGGCGGTCGCGCGCGGCTCCTCAGGGCGGCGCGACGGGAAATCGGGGCCGCGGGGGGTCGCGCGCGGCTCCCCAGGGCGGCGCGACGGGCTCCCGGGGGGCGACGCGACCGTCGACGGGGTAGGAACCCGCCGCGCGCCTCGGGGCGGGCAGAAAACGGCCACACGCCCCGAGCGCTCGGCGGGATGAAAAACGCCGCGCGCCCGGGGCGCACGGCAGGAAGTAAGGGCCACGCGCCAGGGGCGCGTGACAGCAGTAGCGCAGCGGAAGTAGTAGTGGGGCCCACAGGCCAAGAGCGGAACCGCTCTGATAGCATGTTGGAATCGTAGCGAGAGTTAGGAGCCATAGCTAGGAGAACCCTAGCTAGGCAAGAAAGTTTAGGCAAAAGAGGGGGTTCACTAGAAAGCAGCAGGATACATATAGGGAACCCTAAGGGGTTGTACTCGCTATAGAGTACCCCACTGCAGGCTAGAGAACAATAACATTCCGACATCCCGATGATGTTGTTCCCGCCGGGACACCTGCTGCTGTTGAAGGTATGTCTGCTATACCTTTCTCGAAGTGGTGTCTCAATAGTTGCCGGCAACAACCTGCTTTCAACCTGTTGAATTCATATCAAACGTTCCGCTTTGTAAAATTTCCCCCCACAACAGGAAACCCCAACCGCAGCCCAATGGAGTTGCTTATGACCCGGGCGACGGGGCGTGCGTATGCAACTGATGCCGCTCGCTTCGACGAGGAAGCGCGCGCCGAACCTGATGTGAATGAGGAGCTTCGAACTAAGCTCAGAAGGCGATCGCCGGAGTTTATCAGAAAGAGAATGGTCGCCTCGCCGATGACCTGAAAAGCGCGCTGGTGCTTATAACGCACCTTGCTAAGAAGACTACGCAAGTGGACCAGTCGACTCTCGACTGGAAGGTACGGGTTTGCATTTCATTGACCATCGTAACCCAGTTTCATTCGTCCTGACTCTCTGTCATCGTCTTGCAGAAGTACACGAAGGACGCCTGTGATGAATTCCTGTTCAAGAAAGCGTTTCTCAACCTCAATCCTGATTCTGCTGACATGCTAAATGCATTGATCAGTAAGCTTGTTAAGCGTTGTCAATTTTCCCTTCATGACGATTAGTGTACTAATCATCACAGTTTACGTCGTGTGCAAGGCATGCAGGCTACACCCCCGAATCGGCCGAAGGGATGCAGGTGGCAGCAATTGCCAAGTCGCAGGGCAAGCTAAAGGATGCTATGGAACGTTTTAACGATCGCATCGGGAAGATCTACCGCCTTTGCCGCGTTTACGCCTTGAGCCGAGATCCGTGTGTCTTCATGAGGGAGAAGCGAACCCTGAAGGGCGAGCTAACTTTCTCCGAGATTGATGACTTCACGAAGGTGTGCGCGGACTTCGTGAAGAACCAATCCGACAGTAAGTTTCTCTTTGATTATGAAATCCAGTTTTTCCAGTACTCCGTTGAGCCTTGCTTTTAGCTGATGCTTTCTCTTATGGCAGTGATGATGGGAATTTATTGGCATTTGTGGGAGGGATCACCCTTTTCTAGCCCAGCGTTTGTTAAGTGTGCGTCCCTTTGGGACCCGGAATTGGATGGCGCCCTTCCCATTGCGTTGTTTCCTGATCAGCTGCTGGTTATCCTTGCAGCGGTAAGTCAAACGTTTCGCTTACTGTGGAATTTGTCTTTGTGTTTAACGTTTCGCTTACTGTGGTTTTTGTTTCCCTTGTTTCAGGTGCGTTTCAAGCTTCGTTATCCCCATGGCAAGGCCCAGTTTAAGCGATCAGGGGACCCGTCAGCCTTCTCCAGGCAGGCACGGGTGGTGCAGAGGTGGATCAACGAGGGGCCCGTTGAACGGGATGGCGACTGTGTCGGCATTGGCAGCATCTGCATCGTTGGATGGAAGGAGATTCCTGAAGCTGAGCTGGAAGCAGATGAGCTCGGGGATTTGACCTGAGATGACCTCACCTCCAGGGCTGCTTATCGCAGGCTTCACAACGCAAACGAGCCGCAGAAGGAGTTGTTCTAGATGTGGCGTTTTTTATTTATTGTAGGCGTAATTTCATCAATAGAATGTATTTTTGACTTTTTTAATATCATTAATATTCTGTTGGTATAGAACCCGAAACCCTAATAAATTAATAGCTTTTAACAGACCATTATGTAAAAGGAGCGTAAATACGTTTTATTCGCCTTACTATATGTATATAACTTTTATATATTTTGCTACACGCCGCCCTACCATCTTTTATCAATATTTAATGTGTATCGTCATTTCCGCTAAGAGCACAGTGTATTTTTTCTCATTACGTGGACTTCCACGATATCTCAAGAGTGCTGTACTCACTAAAACAATTTTCCCGACTGACATTTTATCGAGACTGTTTTGCTGACGTGACATCGAAACGATAGAAACGTCGCGCCCAATGAACACAACCCAAATGTCCGCAACTGTATCGTGCAAAACCACCCGAGCAGTTGTGCAGGCTCGGCAGCCAGTCATTCGCCCAACTGAAAACAACCCGCAGGCTAGATGCCACTAGCATAGAAAACCAATCGCCAAAACCAGGCGAATGCCTGGAGCCGAAACCCAATCGCCAGCTAGTGGTTTCCCAACCAATTGCGGGACCCCAAAAATTCCCGATGTTGAACTGCTCCAAGTGTTGAACCGCTCCAAGTGTTGAACCGCTCCAAGTGTTGAGCCGCTCCAAGTGTTGAGCTGCCCAAACTCCGTCTTGAACTTGACCCCTCTTGGCCGCTAGAGGCAAAAGCCTCCAGCGTTACACCCGCACACCGCGTCGAGGTGGTCATTCGTGCGGGACTCTGTTTGGGAGGGCGGGGGGGACGGATTCTGGTAGGAGAGGAGAGGGAAGGTTAGCTTACTGCCCGCGGGCAGGATTAGATCAGGGGAATTTAAACACCTCGGGATGACACTCCTCAGTTGTCAGAATTCGAAGACGCCAGGTTGTCAGAGGAAGAGGAGGTTTCCCAGCCGAGCCAAACCCGAACGTTCCTAAACATACCTGACCGCGCCCAAACACACCTGACCACACCCTTCTGATCTAACGCTCCTATGCGCCTACACGTGCCTAGCTAGCCCACCTGTACCTCCCCAAACCATTCGCCATCCACCTGAACATGGGAACGGGGAAGGGGAGAAAGGGGGGGAGTCAAACTCCTGCACCTCGTTCCGCCGCTCGTCCGCTTCGCCGCTCTTCCGCTCCGCCGCTCTTCCGCTCCGCCGCTCGTCCGTCAATCCGCCGGTCGCCCGTCAAACCGCCGGTCGTCCGTCGCTTCGCCGCTCTTCGATTCGTCGCGACGCTGCGTCTCCCTCCTCCCGACTCTCTTTCTGCAGCAGAGACAAACACATGCTGAAATGGACAATATCACCACGAATGACAAACTCCTGCTCGTGCTCCTGCGGACAGGACATTGCTGAGCGAGGGTGAGTGGGGGGGGGGGAGTGGAGAGGGAAGGGGGAGGCGAGAGAGGCGAGGATGAAGGGAGCAGGGAATATTGTCACTTGTGTCTTCATTAACCCCGCGTGCGCACTGGCATGCCAGGTGGTCAACCGTAGCGGACGGGACATTGCAGAGCGCAGGGTGCGTGCGGGGGGAGAGGGGAGAGGGGCGAGGGGCGAGAAAGAAGGGAAGAGCGTGAGGAAAGAAGAAGGGAGAGAGAGAGCAGGGGAAGGCGATCCGAGGTGTCCAGGTGTCAGGTGCTGGTTGGTTGGCATTCTCAAAAAGGATGTGTGACGAGGGTAGATGGGGTGCACGCACAGCAGTATAAGGAGGACAGCTGGCGTGAAACAGGTGGATCTTTGGTGCCACGTCAGCTTGAAGAAGGAAGAAAGAAAACTATCAGCAGTTTTCTTGCCTTGCCCAAATTCCTGTATTTCTTGCTTCTTTTCCCTTTTCTCTTTCCCTTCCTGCTCGCCGGATTCTGGCAGGAACACTTGCTCTTGGGCCTCATCGCACAAATTATCAAGGTATTATGTAATAGAGAGTCATGCACACACAGAGTGACTGCACATAGTAGTAGGAATCTTAGGCAACTCGGAACGCGATAATGTGCAGTAGAGGCGTGCAACGCAGAGGAGGGACTCTGTGTGTGTGTGTCCGTTTTTTCCCGTGCATGCATGCAACTGCCTCATCATACGCGCTCCCTCACTTACCCCTTCGATCCGCTGTTGTTTTTCCCTGCACTACCTTCCCACCCTGCTCCCTGACACTCCCACCCTTTCTCCTCTTTCCCCCGTTTTTCCCTCTTGCCTCCTTCCCTCCCACATACCTCCCGCGTTGCTCCCTCCCCCACCATCTCTTCCTCTCTCTCGCCCTCTTGCACCGCTGTTTGCACTCTATTGCAGGTGCATCTGCTGTCATTCGTCAGCGTGTCTGCTGCCCCTGAGCTCATCGAGGAATTGGAGAAAGAGGTGAGATACCGCTGCTGCTGCTGCTGCTGCTGCTGCTGCTGCTGCTCTGAGTGTGTGACATGAATGGTGTCACGTTTATTTCTTCGCTATGCCCAATCGATTGAACGCATGCACGAAGCCTTGGACGTCCAAGTCTTGGACGTCCTGGACCGAGTCTTGGACGTCTTGGGCCAAGTCTTGGACGTCTTGGGACCAAGTCTTGGACGTCTTGGGACCAAGTCTTGGACGTCTTGGACCAAGTCTTGGTCGTCTTGGACCAAGCTTGGACGTTTTGGACCAAGTCTTGGACGTCTTGGACCAAGTCTTGGTCGTTTGACGTTGTTCGCGTTGACGTAGCCTTGTTCGTAGCCTTGGTCTTGACGTTGATGTTGGTCGTAGCCTTCTTCTAACCCTTCCTTCCTGACTGCGCACGACCATGCCACGTCGCGAGTGAGAAAGGCCGAAAAAAGGTAACGAGACGGATGACAAAACGAAATACGACGATGAATCTGAGAGGCGTCGCCAGCGCGGTGCGAAGCGTCGCGCGACCGGTGAAGAGTCGACATGCTCCCGCCGAAGCGACGCCGTGCGACGGCATACTCGTCGCCATGCCCCGGACGAAGCGACGCCGCGCAACGGGAGAAGCGCCATCGACGGGTCTCCGCAACATCTGCAGGGAACAACAAAAATCGTTAGCTGAACCGTTGAAAAAAGGACGAAGAACCGTTGAAAAGACACCGAAACTGCTTGTGGTGTTATCGCGTCCTTACCATCCGGCAATCAAAGCGCCACTAGCGACGGTAGAACCGTCATCGGCGGCACGCGCCGTCGCCTAACGCCATGCGACAATGGAGGCACCGTGCCTTGGAATCCCCTCGTGAAGATGCTTGCGACGCTTGCGACGATAGAAGCGCCACTCTCGGTCACATCTCCATGTCTCCATGTCGCGAAGCGGATCTGCACGAAACTATGAATCAGTTAGTGCTTTCTTAAAAGGAAGTGAAAACTAGCATAGGCCAAGAACTTGAAAACGAGACTGCACTTACATTCATCGTGGTGAGGCTTGAAAGAAGCCGTCACCAACGGCGTGAAGGCAGTCCAGGCATCGGCAAGCGGCAAGTGGACTTCCGTGCCCATATCCGTCATCAGCGGCACGCGCCGTCGCCTAACGCCACGCGATGATCGAAGCAACCCTCGCGACGACGGAAGTGCCGTGCCTTGAAAGCCCCTCGCGACGATGGAAGTATCACGATGTCGTGAAGCGGCAAGACACCAGCGATTCTGCAGGAAACAACGGCTGAGTTAGTGGAGATATTTATAAAAGTGAAACGGAAGAGCTCTAAAACGGAACCGCACTCACCTTCATTGTGGTGAGGCTTGATAAAGAAGCTCATCGTAAAGAGACTCGAGTGAAGCATCGCCAAACGGAAAGTGAGGTTCCGCGCGACGGGAGTGTCGCCATGTGACGGAAATCGCCGACGTCGTTGTTGAGAGAGAGCTCGTGCGATTGAAGGTTTCGTCGATCTTGACGTTCATATGGTCGTTGGGCTCTCACGATGGTCGCCTGCAGGGCCAACGGAAAACACGTTAGTATATTTCCCTTCAGAAACAGAGGAAGTTCAGGAAAAGAGCGGAAGGCATATTCAGGGTAGAAAATAGCTTGAAGGAACCGCACTTGCCTCCTTTGTTGTGACGCTTGAAGGAGAACCAAGCGTCGCCGAAGGGAAGTGATGATCCGTGAGACGGACGAGCAGCGCCATGCGACGTCGAGAGCCGAGAGCCGGCATGCGCCACCGCCGACGAAGAGAATCACCGCCACCGTTGTTGAGTGAGAGCTTGGAGAGTTGAAGGGTCGACGGTGAGGATGGGGAGAAGCTCTCAACCCCGATCCAACGGTCACGCTTCCATCGACGTTCATATGGCATGAGTTGGGCTCTCAAGTCTTAACTTGGCTTCAGTTGGACTTGGAAGCGTCCAGATGGTTGGTGGCTCTCAGGTCGTTGGGCTCTCAGAGCGGAGATATGGTTGCCTGCAAGGAATATCAAAGCTTCGAAGCAGAAGAAGTGTAAATGAAAAACAAATTCAGATAATAACGAAGTCTGGAAACAGAGAAAGTTCAAAGACTGTACTTACGTCAAGCGTCTTCATTTTGGCGTGAGGACATGAAGAGCTGACGCGCGTCAACGGCGAGGACGGGGAGAAACGCCATCGGTCTTGACGTGGCTGGATGGCGCTCCGTTCGTTGGGCTCTGTTTGAGCTTTGGCTTCTCCCCCTGAAGATTTCTTCTTCGTGCATTCTCGTCGCGTACTGAAGTTGCGTACGGAAGATCTCTCCGCGTACTGAGAATCTTGATGTGACGAGTTCACGAGAAGGCTATCGCGGTGAAGGTGTTGCCGCGACAACCAACCAACCCAGGGCGTCGTACAAGGTTCCGACCAAGGCACGCAAGCAGCTTGCTAGACTCTCTATACTACCCAACCCATCCCACCCACGACTCTCTGTACTACTCTACGCTACCTCAGCGCTGCTGCATGCTTGGTGTTTTCCCTTGTACTAGCCGGGCGGTTTCATGTAGGACGGACTGCTCATTGGAGATAGTAACTTGAAGTCCGTATTAGAGAGCTCGTTAGGAGAGAGCCTCTCTGAACATTCCTTCGATGGGATCGTGAAGGAAGAATAATTCGAAAATGGACTCAGCCGTGGGACTATACCAGGTTTCGGTGGAAGGGATGCGTCTGCCAAAGGAAGGAGTAAGCCGAGCTGACCAGCGGCCTTGATTCTGTGTTTGGCGTTTACCGCCTCCCGCAGCGCGTTTTCAAATAAAATGTGATGGGTTGCTGGGTGCAAAGGGATGCGACACGGCGCGGCTGCTTTTGTGCCCCTGTGGAGTGCGGGAAAAACTTGCGCTGGTTGGGTTGCAGAACACAATTTGAATGGATGGTGGCGATGAAGAACTGTATCCGCCGCCAACGGTGGAAATTCGTTTGAGCTGTGCGATGGAGCTGTGAATCGTGCGATTGGTAAATTGAATTCGCGGTTTGGAAGTGTGATACTCCGTGATATCGCGGCTGATAGGTGTACAGTGCAAACAAACTGCCTTGCATAACTTTTGAATACTTTCAATTTCACATACTTGAATGTATAGAGTTGAGAGCCTGGTTATTTGGTTGGGTTTGGTTGTCTTGAGGCAAACGAATCATCTCAGGGCGCGTACTTTTTGTGGTAAGGTCTGGTTGGTAGGCACCCGACGTCAGACTTAGAGCTGGAGCAGGAAGAGACATTTTTTAGGAGGAGACTGACGCGGCACTTCCTGTTGAATTAAGGGGTTGAGTTATTTAGTGAGGCTTGCGTGAGGTGCGGGATGGTGTTGAATTGGGCAACGTTTTTTTTTCGGCTGAAGTGTCGCGAGGTTTAGCTGCTCTCACAACTCCCTTCGCTGACTGCGAACCAGATTGGGGCAGCTGAAATAGCGAGGGGTGTTTGAGGGAAACTCAAGCGAGCCAATAGGAATCGAGGGAGGCACAACCACCACGCCACATCAACCACCACCCTCTCCTCCCACCCTTCTTTAGGGTGCGTCAGATCCGCTACAATGTGATTTGGCTGCAAATTTGTCGCCCTTTTGGTCGACTCCTTTTTTCGCCAAAGTCGACAGAATGGTCGAATGCTAAACCGACCACCATCCAGCCACATTTACAAGGTGTTGAAATCTGACAGATTTGGTGGCCGATTTACAGGCCGGTTTGCAGAAGTGTCAAATTTACAGGTCGCACAGTTGGCTGGATTGTGCGACGGAGTCGCACGTAATGTTACTGAAGTGACACAACCGCTATTGTGCACACTGAAAGCGCCGTGCGAGTCGTCCTTGTGACACGTTGAGTCGCATAGGTACTGGAGCGCTGATGATTCGACAAAGTGGTCGACTCTCGATTCGTTTGCACGTCGGAAAAGTTGTCGAATGCTAAACCGGCCATCAAACCGGCCATCAAAATTTTAGCAAGTGGCCGGATTGTGCGAAATTAACGAAATAACTTACGAAGGTCGTCAATGTGTAACCTTCGCTAGATCCGGCCGGCCGGATTGATCCGGCCAACGGATCTGACGCACCCTTAGTTCCGCCATATTCTTCTCTCATCGTCATCGTCCTTTCTTGGTTTCCAGTCTGTTAGATCTAAGCGCGTTACCGTCGCCTCTTGGTTTTCAGGTTCTTGGATCTAAGCGCAAGTTTTTGCACCGTAGGTAGTGTTAGTCGCGCTTATCAATCGCGCTTATCAGTCGTAGTTTAGAATTTGTCACTTGACGTAGTGAGGTAAGTACCGTCAGCTTCAAGTAGTCACCGCCAGTTGCTTCAGATGTTTGTACAGTCGCCAGTAGTCGATACATTATTGATTTTCTTATGCATTGCGGCTGAAGTAGTTAATGTATTAGCGTTAATTTGCGGACGAATAGTTAATGCTGATTTGCGAACACATTAACACCATCGATTTGCAGACACCTCCCATGCAGGCGCATCAAAGCTTCGGTTCGTGCCCATTAGTGTCGCCAATACCTCCTACGCGATTTCGTTAAGCAGATTAAGCGGAGGCGCCTCAGCATGGATGATGGCTGATGTTAGAAGAAAAGTTACCCCCCGAAACGGTAGAAGAAAGGGAAGGAGAAAGGTAAGAGCCGTGGGTGTGTTGCGGGAAAGGGAGGGAATGCGGGAAAGTGGGGGGAAGGGCAGAAGAGGAAGAGGGGGGGGGGGGGGGGAGGAGGGGTGTCGAGGGGAGAGGAGGGGGGAGGGGGGGATCGAAGGACATCCCTCATCTTGTCCCGCTCTCCTTTTTTTTTCCCCGCTAATCGTCTCATCCCTTTCCTCTCCGCTCTCCGCTCATTTCTCCCGCTCTCCCCTCGTTCCCCCCTGCTCTCATCTCATCTTCCCCCTTCTCTTCCCTCAATTTCCCCTCCTCTTTCCCCATACAGCTGATTCCAGATCTCCTTTCTCCTTCTCCTGCTCACCCTCTCACTCGCCCCTCTTCTCCTCTCTCTTCTCCCCCGCTCTCCCCTCTTCTCCTTTTCGCCCATCTCTCATTCCACCTCCACTCCCCCCCACTTACCCCGCATTTCTCCCCCGATCCCCTCAATTTCCCTACCTTCTGTTTTCCTCAAGCCGTTCACCAGCTCTGCTTCACTCTGCGCTCCTCTCCTCCCTCTCTCTCCTCCCTTCTCCTTTCCCCTCCCCTCCCCTGCCCTCCCTGCCTTCCTGCACTCGTCCTCGCATTATGCAGGGGCCCTGGAGTGGTGGGGCAGCAGCCAGTGCTGCCACCAGGGGCATCATTCGAGTACACGTCTGTCTGCCCTCTAGACACTCGCAAAGGAGCCATGGTCAGTATCACCACCACCACCACCGCCGCCGTCGCCACCGCCACCACCACCGCCGCTGCTGCATATCCCTGCTGCCTCCACTTGCCCTGTTGATGCTCCTCTCTGTTTGCCCTGTTCCATCCTTTGCTACACCGTTGTGTAACAAGTCACAGGGTCAGTTTTCACACACCCATGCACATGCACTAGATCTCTGTCTCATGGTGAAATGGACATAGTTCACTTGGTGTCCTGATTATGCTGTATGCGGTTAACTTGTACTGCACACCCATGCACTGTCTCTCTCTCTCTGTCTCATGGCGAAATGGACACAGGGTAGTTCACTTGGTGTGCTGATTACACTGTATGTGGCTGACTTTTTCCGCAATCCGTTGTGTTGTGTGTGTGGAGTTGCGTGCTTGCTTGCTTTGTTGCTTGCTTGGATTCTTACATTCATGCTTACAGATAGGCGCGTTCGACCTTGAGGTGTATCAGGATGGCCTCTGATCAGCAGTAAACGTACAGTACAGTACACCTATTTTTGTCACACCACTTAGATGACACATTATTTGCTTGTGCATGTGCTAATGTTCAATTCTCCTCTGCGCCACAATGTGTCACCTTAATGCTTCTCGGTCAAAATACCACATTCAATCATCAACTGGTACTGCACCATATGAAGAGCGGGCCACATATGTTGCACAAGCAGCAAATGCAGATGTGGTGACACCTAGTGATCCCCTTCCCTTCCAGTCAGCATGCTAGTACGTACATCTTTTCCAGACTGATGGCCCCAGTGTTGCAACTTGCATGCCTTGTTCTTTGAGAGCAGGTCTTTGAGATTCAGGGAGAGCATATCCCTGCACACGGCGTCAAGTAAAATGCAGTTGCCAGTACACTTCAATAATTTTCCGTATACGGTACAGAGATGTTACACTTGGGTCACGTCACGATCTTCTGATGAAGCGTGCTATGGTGCGCTCTACCGCACTTTCGCCATACACATCGTCTCCACTTCGTCATCCGATATCCCGTACTTACGGTACACCACCACAGCAGCCACTCCACGCATCAACGAGCCCTGCTGTCGGCACCCCGTTGGTCCTTCCCGTGCGTCGCATCATCCGCCTCGGGCTTGTCGTCCGCGTCGGCAACTTTCGGCCGCGGCTTGGCGTCCGAACACCATAGCAACCAGTCTATACGCGCCTCAATGCGCCGCGCTTTCCGCATCCAATTTCCGGTTTCCCGTGCGTCGCGTCATCCGCGTCGGCCTTGTCGTATGCACGCTGTGCAGGGTCAGCCACGTGTATACGCGTCTCAGCGAGCCCCGCTAAGATCTTCATCCAATTTCCGTTTCCCTTTCGTCGCATCCGCTTCTAGCTTGTCGTCCGCGGCGGGAACTTTCGGCCGCTTGGCGTCGGGGGGGAGGCGGCTGGCGAGCTCGTCGCGCTCCACGTGTAGGCGACGAACCTCCTTCTTCAGCAGCGCGATGAAGTTAACGGCCTCGTCTAGCATCGTGGCCGTGTCCATGCGCGGATTCCAGATCGGGAGTGATTCCTTTAGGCGGTCCAGGCGGGAACTGCGGGGGGGTGGGAGGGGTCGACGCGGGGGAAGGAGGAAGTGCTTTGAGTCGACTCAATGGTGGCCGTGTCCATGCGCGGATTCCAGATCGGGAGTGACTCCTTGAGGCGGTCCAGACGGGAACTGGGGGGGGGGGAAGGGGAGAGAGGGGGGGGCGGGGGGGGGGGGGGGGAGGGAGGGGGTAGACGCGGGGGAAGGAGGAAGTCAAGTTTTGAGGCGTCTCAAAACTAGATTCCAGATGGGGAGCTGGGGAACTAGATTCCTTTAGGCGGTCCAGGCGGGAACTGGGGGGGATATATGCAGGGAAGGAGGGACACGCATTGCATCAGGCAATTGGGAAAAAGAGTGCGTGAAAGTGTGGTTGATGCATGAAATGATGGGGATCCGAATGAATGTGTGATGCATGAAATGATGGGTATCCGAATGAATGTGTGATGCATGAAATGATGGGTATCTGAATGCATGTGTGATGCATGAAATGATGGGTATCCTGTTAAATGCTATCTGATGCCTGGAATGTCGCTTGATGGTTTATGGAGGGTCTTGAGCCTGAATCCGTGTCTGGTGCCTCTGGTGCCTGGATCAGTGTCTGCTGCCCGAATCAAAGTCTGCTGCTGGATCAAAGTGCCTAGGTCAGTCTCTGTTCCCTCTATTGATATCTGGTGCCTGAATAAGTTTCCGGTGCCTGAATCAGTTTCCTGTGCCTGAATCAGTTTCCGGTGCCTGAATCAGTTTCCGGTGCCTGAATAAGTTTCCGGTGCCTGAATAAGTTTCCGGTGCCTGAATAATTTTCCAGTGCCTGAATCAGTTTCCGGTGCCTGAATCAGTTTCCGGTGCCTGAATCAGTTTCCGGTGCCTGAATCACTTTCCGGTGCCTGAATCACTTTCCGGTGCCTGAATCACTTTCCGGTGCCTGAATCAGTTTCCGGTGCCTGAATCAGTTTCCAGTGCCTGAATCAGTTTCCGGTGCCTGAATCAGTTTCCGTGCCTGAATCAAAGGTTCACTGTATCGCTGGCTGTGGCATCATGACGGCTGGAAGCAGCCGCATAGACCCCTCTCCATGCACTGGCCAATGTTACCCCGCTTCCATACCCTCTCCTACCTCCCTCCCTTCACCCCCATTCCCCTATCCCCCAACCACCATCCTTCCCCTCTCCTCCCCCGATTCTCCCTCCTGCGGCTTCCACTCCCCTCCCTGTTAGCAGAACATTATCCCACGCTCTCCTCACTCCCATTCACCCGCCGCATCCTCCCCCCCATCTCTCCCCCTTCCCCCAACTCCCTCCGCACCTGATCTTGCTGCGTCTGTTCCGCTCAGCCACGCTGCGTGGGCGTGTAGAGTGTGCCCCGCCCCCGCGCGCCTGCATGGCCCACTCGCTGCCCTCCTCTCCTTCCGCCACGTCCTGGGGCTGGGGGGGTTGGTGGGGCCATGGGGGAAAGGCGAGATGCGCGGAATGAGTCTTGAGGCGCCTCGAAGGTTGTGGTTGGTGGGGACCATGGGGGGAAAGGTGAGACGCACGGAACGAGTCATACTTTGAGTCGTCTCAAAACACCACTCGCTGCCCTCCTCTCCCTCCGCCGCGTCCTGGGGCTGGGGGGGTTGGTGGGGGCCATGGGGAAAAGGCGAGATGCGCGGAGATGCAGGGGAGGGGGATCCGGCAGGAAGGGGAAAAGGGGGGTGGGGGCGGGCGGCTGGCGCAGCTGATGCAGAGAAGGAGGGCGTGTGCAAGGCAAGAGTAGTCGGTCTCTGGGTACAGTGGTCAAGATGGTAGGGAGAAGAGGAGAGAGATGAAAGTGAGTGTGTCTGTTAGAGAGGAGAGAGAGAGAGAGAGAGAGAGAGGGGGGGGGGGGGGGGGGGGGGAGAGAGAGAGAGAGGGGGGGGGGGGAGACCTTGCATGTATGTAACACTGCCTCCTATATTAATGGAGGGAGAGAGGGAGGGAGGGAGAGAGGAGGCTCACACTCCACTCATGTTGCTGTGCCGCATGGCCCCCAGACGCACCCCCTCCTCCGCCGTCCCCATCGATATCATCATCAGTATCATCATCCACTCCTTCCATATTGGCAGCAGCAGTGGCGCCAGCAGCAGTGGAAGGTACAGCAGGAGAGGCAGCAGCAGCAGCAGCAGTCGTCCTGCCACAAGGATCAGCGCCAGCACCAACGTTAGCGCCAGCGCTAGTACCAACAGAAAATCTTCTCCTGGTGCGTCCCCCACCAGGGCTCCTACTAATGCCCACACCATGCGAAGCATCAGGTGGTTCGGTCCCACACCATGCCCGCCTTTTGCCTTCTCTACCACCGCCAACAGCAGCAGCAGCAGCAGCAGCAGCACCACTAGCATCGTCACCAGCAGCACCACTATATAAAGGTTCCTGCTTTGCTGGTGTGAGGTCGTAGCTGCCACTGCCCATGGTGCCGCCACTGCCACTGCCGAAACTACCCATAGCGCTGCCTGCGCCGCGCTGCTGCCCTTCCTGCCCGCTTCTGTTCCGCGCCCGTTTCCTCCCCATCCTTGCGTCCTCGCTCTCCCTCCATGCGTTCTCCTCGCCTTGATTGCTGGAGGCCCGTTTCTCTCCTTCTTGGGCACTTGTTTCTCGTTTCTCCGCGGTTGCCCCCCACCTCCCTCTGCCGTGCTCCCATGTGTGTGTGAGACCGTGCTGCTGTTGCTCGTTGCTGCTCCCAACCTGTTGTTGAAGCTGGTACTGCGGATGCTGCTGTTGTTGTTGCTCTTGCTGCTGTTTTTGCTGCTGCTGCTGCTGCTGCTGCTGCTGCTGCTGCTGCTGCTGCTGCATCAACACCCGAACAATACTCTCAGGGGCATGGGTGACCGCTGAGGGGAACAGCAGCTGTGTGATTGGATCCCTAGCCCCATCACCTGCACCACCGCCTGAGTCATCACCTGTGTTCGGAGCACCAGGGCTGAAACCAGCGCCGCTGGATCCAGCAACAGGCGCACGGACGTGCCCCAAATTGCCCCCAGCCGCAGCAATGGCTGCTGCCACTGCAGCAACAGCAGCCGCGAGATTGGACGGCTGATGCACGCTCCCTGCAGGGCTGAAGGTAGTGTTTCCTGCTGTGCTGACGCCAGGGTGGAATAAAGCAGCTGGAGAAGAGAGGAGAGTGTGAGGGAATGACGGAGGAGCCGCCACATTGGGGGGTCCAAAAGGAACAGGATAAGGGGCTGTGCTCGTAGGAGGCATGGCCCTGAACGGGGCCGGATGAGGGGGTGTGTGAGTGTACGGTGGTGGTGGTTGGAATGCGGGGTGCTGGGCTAGTGATGCAGCAGCGGAAGGGGGAATGAGGCCAGCAGCGGCAAGGCTGAGAAGCGCGTGGAGCTGGTATTGCTCCTGGGAGAAGGGATGCGAGTGCGGTATTGGTAGGTTTTGGTTTGTTTGGATCCGGTGCTGCTGGGTGGCTGAGGATGCGTGGATGGGCGGCAAGATGGGAGTGATAGCCGATGGTGTGGCTGTCGACCCCCCCACTCCAGGAGGAGGAGCAGCAGCAACAGCAGCAGCAGCAGCAGCAGCAGCAGCAGAAGAAGACGAAGCAGCACCAGGATTTGGCATCGAAACCCCCGCGGCTGCAAGAATAGCAGCTGCTGCGGCCGCTACTGCAGACGATGATGATGTTGCTGATGTGTTTCCGTGACTGTGAGATGGGGGAGAGAGGGCACCGGCCGGGGCGTGGGCCGGGGAGTGTTGGGCAGCAGGATGAAGTGGAGTGGGAAACCCAAAGGGATGAAACGGAGAAGGGGAAAGAGGCGGCGCCTGAAGAACCGGTGGGAAGGGCGGCGAAAGAGCCGGGGAAAGGCTAGACGCAGTGGTTGGGCTTGATGGAGGGTGGTTTGAGGTAGCAGCAGCAGCAGCAGCAGCAGCAGCAGCAGCAGCAGCAGCAGGTGCAGACTCGGGGGCTTCTTTCTTGAGAAGACTGCTGAGTGCAGAGCTGGTAAGCCATGGTGCGGCCCCTGTGGTAGTAGCTGCAGCCGTAGCAGCCTCAGGCTGCTGATCAGAATGCGGGGGGAATCCAGCGACTGTAGTAGTCGCAGGGCCACCAAAGCTCGTGTCTGATGATCTCCACCGTCCCACACCGATCCCCACACCACCGCCACCCTCGCCTCCTCCTCCTCCTCCTTCCTCTGCCTCCCCCTCCCGTTGGAGGGATGAACCAGGGGCGGTGGGAGCTGGTGTAGGTTCAACCCGCATGGGGAACCCGGGCGTGCAATGGGCGGAAGAGCGTGTGGCAGGGGAGGACGAGGCAGCGGTAGGGTGGGTGCGAGAGTGTGGAGAGTGCGGAGGGAGCGGAGAGGGCGGAGAGGGCGGAGATTGCGGAGGGATCAGCGAGTTTGGAAAGCCAGAGGATGGAGAGAAGAGTGAGGCGAGGCCCCTGCTTTGAGCAAGGTCTTTTGAGGGGCGTTCTGAGGGGCGTTGAAGCTCTGAGGGGCGTTGAAGCTCTGAGGAGCGTTGAAGCTCTGAGGGGCGTTGAAGCTCTGAGGAGCGTTGAAGCTCTGAGGGGCGTTGAAGCTGCTGCTGCTGTCGCTGCCGCTGATGCCACTCGTGCCATTGCAGCCACTGCTGCTGCTGCTGCTGCTGCAGCCACTGCTGCTGCTGCTGCTGCTGCTCGTTGCCAGCCATGGCTCGGTCACGGACACGAATGAGCGGCTTCTGATCCTGCTCCTCGTTGCATGATGCGGCACGCCCTTGCGGTCTTGCTTGCGGTCTTGCTTGCGGCCTTGCCGGTACTAATGACGGCGCGGATGTTGCCGCAACGCTGTCTTGCGAGGACGGTAGCAATCCAGCAGCCGCCGCAGCAGGTTGTATTGGTGCATGTGTGCCTGCGGTTACAGCTGCTGCTGCTAGTAGTACTGCTGAAGATGCTTCGGTTGCGGCCGCCGCGGCGGCGAGCGGGGATGATGCTGAGCTGTTCACGTGAGACAGCGGTATCGTGGCAGTGGTGTCAGGACGGCCAATGCAGAGGCCTAGATTCGGCATGGAACCTGCCGACCCTGGCGCGCCATCAAGGTAGTGGCCGTTGTTGCTCATGATCATCACTACCATGCTGCTGCTGCTTCTTCTTCTTCTTCTGCTGCTGCTGCTTCTTCTTCTGCTGCTGCTGCTTCTTCCTCTGCTGCTGCTGCTGCTGCTGCTGCTGCTGCTTCTGATGCTGCCGCCGCCGCTGCTAGTAACGCAGTCTCAAGCTGCTGTGCTGCTTGGGCATATGATGCTCCCTAAGTTCTTGCCTTATTGCTGCTGCGTGCCTTCTTCCTCCTCGGATTCACCAGCTGCCGCGTTGCGTGGGTGGTTGGTATCGATAAGCAGCAGTAGTAGTAGCAGCAATCGGAGTGTTTATAGCGATTTTTTTTTTGGGGGGGGGACCACATGCGGCAGCTTAGCAGCAGTATTTTGATCGTAGTCTTTCCTCAGAGCGAGTGCCTAGCAGTAATAGTACGTGCATCCTCTCACTAGACACGCAGCGCGCGGCGATCATCGCGTGCGATCATCCCCTTGGCGGCACCTGCAGTCCATTTCGCGAACAGCAGCCATGGCGGCAAATCCAGTTGCTTCACAGGCAGAGTTTGACGGTGGTGATGGGAACTCAAGATCCTAACGTTGAAGAAACAATCCCTTTCCGGATTGTCCGCATCCTAGGAGCTTCAGGTATTAGAGCCCGCTGAGGAGCGGTGTAAAGAAGGCGGCAACTATGATTGCACCCCTCGAATCAGTTAGCATTTCTGGGGGGATTTGTGTCCACTAGCATAAAAGGGCTCAGGCAGCAGTAGCTGCACCTGGCTCAAGACACAAAACTCATCCTTCTGCGCTCTTTCACAGCGTGAATTGAAGTCCACTCACTCGCCCCCCTCTTCTCCGCCCACCTCTCCTGCGGCTAATCTCTTGGATCGATCCACGCAGCTTCAAATCCCGAAGGTGATTCTCATACAGGGGGCTCTAGTAAGGCTCCTCCCCTCCCCTCCATCTCATGATGAGCAAAGCGGAACGCCGACAGTGAGGGGATTGCCTGCCGATTTGTCGGGCATATGATTGTGATGGCGGAAGCTTGGTGCATGCATGGGACGCAGGTGGCTTTCATCCGAAGCCCACCGCTCCGTCGGTCAATTTTTTTTTTCCCCTTGGTTGCATTGCATTGAATTGAACTGTTCTACGCATTGCTGTACAGTTCTGCTGTACAGCATTGCTCTTTCGACAGCTTCTTCTTGTTTCACCTCGACTAAACAGCATTGCTGGGTGGCCTGACCTGCATACATTTCGTGTGCACTGCACTGAAGTTCAATTCTTTCTACACAGGTTGCTCAACAGTTGCACGCGAATCTGGTCAACTTAATATCGACAGCCAGCCCAAATGCAATTGGTACCAGCGAGTTGCACGCACGATACAAGCCCCTATTTTGATCGCAGCCCTTGAACACACAGCTTATCACGCTGGCATCCGTCCGTTCGTGAGATATTTTGAAGAAGCTGGTTACATTGGTTCACCTGCCCACTATAGTCCCGATTTTGCCCGTGGCGAATGTTGGCGAGCGGGCGAAGCAGATGCTGCTTTCTAAACACTAGAATAACGGATAAAGTTGTGAAAGACTAACACGAATCTGGTATAGTTCACACGGAATTTCACTCCATCGGTCGAAAGCGCAAATGCAAAACTCTTTGGTGCAAACGCCAATGGCGTGTCCTACGCGTTCGTTTACAGTTCGAGTTCATGGCTGTAACCCTGTAACCCTTGAATTACGAGACTGCATGACATGCGTCTTCAATGACGCACCTGAATAACACGCCGAGGACGTCAAGTGGTTCGTATTATCCCGCGTATAAGGTACGTGCGATCACCTCGTACCAGGTCTTGCAGTCCGTCACCTCAATTTGAGAATTCACGCAACACTCAGTCGAGCGAATATAACGATCGTCGCAAGGGGCATAATGATTTCGCGCTAGGGCGGGTTACCGCTCATGGCTTCTGTTAAATGTAATTCGGATGACGATTTTTGTGTTGGCCGGGCAGGGTCTGCCGTGGGTCAATTTCGTTTGGAACTGTGCTGACGCGCTGCGTGTTTTTTACGTCAGAGTGTACACTCTTTTGATTTGTCTCAGTAATGTAAAAATGATGGTTTTCTCCCCAAACGAACCCATGGGACACTTTCGCGAATACCATTTATTTTAATTACGGAAGTTTGGGATGGTCCCATGACAGCTCTGGTCCCACATGGTCAGCAATCTAATTTTCAAACGTTTGGACAATGTGATACTGAGGATCATACACATGTTCCGCGATAATTCCACACCCTTTATCTTCACAACCTGGGGTACCTACCCTCGAAAGAACCGATTTCGAAGGTAGTTCGCAACGCTCGAAGAATTTTCAGGGTTAATGTAACACAATCTCAATGCGAGGTTACCGCAGGAACAATCTGGCACTGGAATTTTCCCCGCTCACTCGAACTACAAAGTTCGAGTTTCGAAAGGCCTTGACCTGGTGACTATTTCCTGATAGACCCGCAATGTCAGGGCGTCCGTCTCATCAAACCTTCAACCATGTAGGGTGTCTGAGTAGAATCAAAGTTCAGGGTGTGGAAATATCGGAGAACAGGTGTACTACATTAGCCGAGTGCAAATGATCCTGCGCTCTTGTTGGTAGGAAGGGAAACCACCTGAACATTCGGCGGTTGAAGGCGGGGTGCAACTTCTTAGGAACAGTAGCAGGACAAACATGGAGTATGCGTAACGAGACCCTTATTGGATGGAAAAAATGGAATCTCGGAAAAGACTAACTTCTCGCCACAGAACTGCCTGGGACAAGTTCCAAGCTATAATACTTCGAAGTTGAAGCTGATAGTTCGGCCACGGTTTTAAGAGCCCACCAAAACTGTGTTTTAGCCTCGTGGGACTGAAAGCTGCCGGTATTTAGCAATCCCATGATGCGAACCCGTCTCGTACAGAACAGTCTTTACAGACGAGGGGGCCCAAAGTGCAATCGAACAAGGCCGTTGAGGATGTGTTACGGAGGGAGGGTTCACAGTGAAGACACGAGATACGGAACCGACTACACAAGTGTACACAGTGAAAGTGGTCTGACTGTGGAATAACTGTTTCCCCACCCCACCTTCTCATTGGTCTCATTGGCGTGCATTGTGTGTCAATAAGCAGCACCAGCATCCAAATTATACATCATCTGACGTCAGGAAACCGTCACATCTTTGTCTCTTGGAATCTGTCCGGTTTACATGGCTGGGCCGGAAAACTTTGGGGTGGTGGTGACAACATTTCAGTCTGAAATTTTCGTCCATCCCAGCCCAGGGAAGAGCCACACAATCAAGCTCAATAAAGATATGCAAGGATAGTGTGTGCTGAACGTGGAGGTGCGTTTAGACAACAGTGAAGTCGGTTACTTACACAGAGACAGGCTGCACTGAAATGTAACTGCCGTGACTCCAAATCCATTGGCCGAACATTATGACAGTCAAGGACATAGGTCGGCCAGAAATCATATGCGTCGATACTCGATGAAACAGCCTCATTAACAGTGGAGCAACTCTTCTTCTACAATAAAATGGCAGTTAAGCCATTACTCCACTTAAAATGGTTAACACCACTTTAGCTAGCATATTGGGGAATGCATCACCGGCCTTCTTTCACCACACCACTCCAAATAATATATCAATTAGCACTACATATACCCCTTTGTTGAATCCTAATACCATGGCCCTGTCAACACCACCGATCTCATCGAGTCCTCGCCAACCACTTGTCCTGCCACGGCTGCCAGTACAGAGGAGAGGTTGCAGGGGTTGGCATTGAGCCAGCTGCGCCAGCAGCTACAACCGCTACCCAACCTACTGCCTCCCATACTTGTCGCGGCTGCCACTGAGAGGGGGAGGTGTGTCAAAATTATAATATATACTGCTTGGTGTAGTCATTGTAGTTATTATGATTAACTGTTGGTGGTGCACCTTCCCTTGCTTGTTTGTTCTCTATTGTCAGAACATATAGCTTGTGCTTATTGTGTAGGCTATAGTGGGGTAGCCCACAAGGGGTACAACCCAATTAGGGTTAGTACTTGTACTTAGTTCATTCATTCTCGTTTCTATTTTCTCATGGTATCGAGCAGGTTCCCTCGTGGGAACTGTTCTTAAGGCCCACCAAAATCGATTTTTTTTTTTCTGCCCGGAGCGCGCCTCGCTTAGGCCTCCTTCGGC